TTCCCTGCCCCCTTCCCTGCCCCCTTCCCTGGCCCTGACCCCGTGTCTCCCGGCAGGACAAGCCCCCCCCGCGGCGCCGGTCGGACGCGGCCCTGCCGTGGCTCCTGGGCTGGGTTCGGGGCCTGGCCCGGCCCTTCTCGGGCCCCGCCGTGCTCTGGACCCTCTACCTGGTGGCCGCCACCGTGGGGGTGCTGCGGGCCCTGGGCCCCCGGGCACGGGGGGGGCCGCCCCCCGCCCGCCACAAGGCCCGGGGGGAGCGGGGGGAGCGCAACGGGGTGCGGGGAGAGGGGCGGGGCCGGGCGGGGGGCGAGGGCCACGGGGAGGGGCGGCCCGGCCCCAAGAAGAAGAAGTAGCGCCCGCAGCCCCCCGCCCGTGTGCCAGCCCCGGGGGGGCCCTGGGTGGGGGGGTCAGTTGGGCCCCGCCCCGGGGGGCTCCCGGTGTTCTCCCCCCAGTGCCTTCAGCACGGTGTGGCCATGCGGGGGGGACCCTCCCCACTGCCTTGGGGACCCCTCCCTGCGGCCCGGGGACCGCTGGGGACCCCTCCCCACTGCCCAGGGACCCCTTGGGAACCCCTCCCTGCGGCCTGGGGACNGGGGACCGCTGGGGACCCCTCCCCACTGCCCAGGGACCCCTTGGGAACCCCTCCCTGCGGCCTGGGGACTGCTGGGGACCCCTCCCTGCAGCCCAGGGACCCCTTGGGGACCCCTCCCCACTGCCCAGGGACCCCTTGGGGACCCCTCCCCACTGCCCAGGGACCCCTTGGGGACCCCTCCCCGCGGCCTGGGGACCGCTGGGGACCCCTCCCTGCAGCCCAGGGACCCCTTGGGGACCCCTCCCCGCTGCCCAGGGACCCCTTGGGGACCCCTCCCTGCGGCCCGGGGACCGCTGGGGACCCCTCCCTGCAGCCCAGGGACCCCTTGGGGACTCCTCCCTGCAGCCTGGGGACCCCTCCCCAGTGCCCAGGGATCTCTTGGAGACCCCTCCCCGCTGCTTGGGGAGCACTCCCTGCAGCCCAGGGACTGCTGGGGACCCCTCCCCGCTGCCCAGGAAGCCCTTGGGGACCCCTCCCCACTGCCCAGGGACCCCTCTGGGCCCCACGAGGGTGGGGGGATTTGATGCAGCTGGGGGTGCTCAGCACAGATGGGGGGCTCCTTGCCAGCAGGATGGAGCAGTTCGGGCAGTGCCAACCCTCCTCCTTACCCTGCCCAGCCCCTCAGGTGCCCCCCAGGCAGTTTGGGGTGGCTGCCCCCCATGTCCCCCCCCCCAATGGGCTCTGCCCATCCCGCGCTTCCTCCCCCGGCTCAGCCCCAAGCTCAGAGGTCCAGAGGTTTCCTATAATTTTCTAAATAAAGCCTTTGACATTCCAGCCCCACGGCTCTCCTGGGATTTGGGGGGCTCCTGGGCCCTGTCCTGCCCCCCCGTGCCTGGGGTGACATGAGGGGGGGAGGTGACTGGCCCGGGGGGTGCGGCACAAGCAGGTTTATTGTGGAGCCCCCACGGTGGGGTCTGGGGGAGGTGCTGGGTGCTGCTGCGGGTGAGGGGCCCGGCGGGGTCCCAGCAGGGTGGAGGGTGGTCCTGGCAGGGCTTGGGGGTCACCAGCAGAGCTGCCCCGGGCAGTACTTGTCGATGAGCGACTGGTAGTACCCGCGGAGCTGCTGCACGTCGGGCAGGTCCTCCTGCTTGGTGTACAGGTCGAACTTGCTGTGGGAGCACAGGGGGGGTCAGGCCGGGGGTGCACCATCACCCCCCCTCCCACAGCCCCGGGGGGCTCAGCTGAGCCCCCAGTGCCCCCCGGGCACGCACTTGAGCTCCCGGACCCAGGGCAGCATCCGCCGGTCCTCCTCGGAGCAGAGGTGCCCGTAGTCCCCGTGCGCGTGCCAGGGGTAGAAGGAGTGGAAGCGAATCATGTAGAAGGCCTGGGGGGGGACAGGGACGTGCCAGCTGGGTTTGGGGGGCCCTCCCCGCACCCCTGAACCCCCACGGGGGGTCCCTGTCCCCCCACGTGCCCCCCGGTCTGAGCTCACCTCCTTGGGCAGGGCGAACTTGTTGAACTTCATCACTTGGTACATGTACTCTGGGGAGGGGGCGGCGTGTGGGGAGGGGCTGGACCCCCACCGGGGGGGCACCCCGAGAGGGGCAGCCCCCCCTGAAAGCCACAGCTCCCCCCGGGGAGCTGCAGCCCCCGCCCCACGCCGAGGGCTCCAACCCCCGGGCAAAGGGGGCAGTGGGGGGGGGCAGCACGGCCCTCCTGGGGGGTCAGTGCCCCGTTTGGGGGTGGGGGCCCCTTCCCCGAGGAGAGGACGCCCCCGGCCCCCCCGGCTCACCATCGTGGCCCCAGGACATGAGGACGTTCTCCAGCCCACAGCCAGGTTGGTACATCCCACACTCGGTGCTGGGGATGGAGCGGGGTGGGGGGTGAGGGGCTGGACCCCCCCTCTGGACCCCGGCCGGGCCCTGGGGTGCAGCCCCCCACCCCCAGCACCCCCCGGCTCACCTGTAGCGGGGGTCCTTGGTGTCGGGGTTGTCGTGGAAGGTGGAGTCCCCGTAGACCACCGAGCTCTGCACCTTGCAGCCCACCGGGAAGGTGTCCCCCACCACCGCCCACTGCGGGGGGCACGGGGGTCACAACGGCCCCCGGAGGGTTCCCCCGACACGGGGGGCTCCCCCGTGCCCCCTCCCCACCATCCCACTCACCTGGGGCTCCCCGAAGAGCACCAGCACCTTCCCCAGGTCGTGCAGGAGCCCCACGAGGTGGAACCAGTCTGGAGGTGAGTGAGATTGTCACCCCCCGGGACGGGACCCTGCGGGGTGGGAGGGGACAGAGGGGGGGTGTGGTCGTACCTTTGTCGGGGTGTGCCCGGCGGATCCCCTCGGCCGTCTGGAAGGCGTGGAAGGAGTTGGGGAAATCCACGTCGGGGTCCGACTCGTCCACCAGCTGGTCCAGCAGCTCCAGCGCCTCCATCACGCTCATCCTCCGCAGGGAGCACGGCCCGTACTGGGCTCTCTGGGGACACCCGGCTTTGGGGACACCGAGGCACCCCCCGGCACCCCCCCGGGGTCCCCCGTGGGGCTGGGGGCGTGGGTGCCCCTCAGTGTCCCCCCAAACAGGCTGGGACGGGGCACCGGGACTGGATTTGGGGTGCAGGGTGGGAGGGCTGTGACACCCCCCTGCTGTGGGGACCCCAGGGGGGACAGGCCGGCCCTGGGGGGACAGGGTGACCCTCGGGGGGACACAGGGTGACCGGGGGGCTCCCACCTTCCTGCGGACGAAGTCCACGGTCTGGTGTGTGTGCATGAGCAGGTACGTGTGGTACACGCGGTCGATCAGCTTCCCCTCCTGTGGGGCAGTGGAGGGAGAACGGGGGGGTCAGGGGGGTCTGGAGAGCAAGGGGAGCCCCCCAGTGTCCCCCCACCCCAGCCTGGCATGGCAGAGACCCCCAGGGCTCTCCCAGCCCAGGGTGGGACCCCCAGTGTGGCCACTGGGGACAGACGGGGACACAGGGACTCACTGGGGGACCCCTGGCACCCACGGGACCCCCAGCACTCACCTCACACCATAGAACCCCCAGGACCCTTATGCAGGCCCCCCCTGACACCCCACCCGGTTTTGGGCCCCCCCTGAGCCCCCCTCCCCACGTGGGATCCCCTGGGACCCCCCAAACTCACCGTGTAGTTCCTGAACTCAGACTTGTCCTTGCCGGGTTTGGGCTCCTCAGAGGGGTCGGGGCCCTGAGGGGTGACAGGGGGGGCTCAGGGGTCCTGTCCTGTCCCCCAGCCAGGGACAGGGGACAGGGACAGGGACAGGGACAGGCAGAAGGGACTCAGGGGTCCCGTCCTGCCCTCTGGCCTCAGCACCGTGGGACAGGACAAGGGGTCAGGGACCGGCGGTCAGGGACAAGGGGACAGCGGCACCGAGGGAAGACCTGGACACACGGGGTCACCTGGTGCTGTGCGGGGTCACAGGGTCACACGGTGTCACACTGTCACAGACCATCAGAGTCAGTGTCCCACAAAATCACACACTGTCACACACTGTCACACACATTGTCACCCATTGTCACACACTCTCACACACTGTCACATTGTCACCCATTGTCCCACACTCTCACACACTGTTCCCCCAAGGCACAGAGGGGACCCAGGGGTGCTGCCCCTGATCCCGAGGTGGGTTCCAGCCC